CATGCGATGTTGAAAGAGCAAAATTTAACGTAAAAATATAATTGCCATTTAATCATATTTATGGTGATAAATTACAATAGAACAATATTTATAATATTTTAGCATGTCGTATACTAACGTTAATTATTACGATAAACTACTTATCGGGAACTTTCTTTTACGTAAACAACTTTTAGAAATATTTAGAAATGAAACTATATGCATATCAAGACGTAATGGGATTTTTCTTATCGGGACAATAATGATAAGATGCTAGAGATGTTAATTGTGAAGTTACAAGTTAGCAGCAAGGATAGATATTTACTTGAAAGACGAGAGATTTCAAAATATTTTTTAAGTTAAACATGCTTTTGTCATCAAAATAGATCATACGGATGTCTAGAGAGCAGTGAGACCAAACGCTAAACTTTAAACTTTAAAATGGCTCTCTTATTTTTATATCGAAAATTATTTAATCATAGTTTCATATAATAATTTCAGTTAGTTTTGGATGCCTATTTAATAATCTTGGGAATAAAATTTGATTGAGATTGGTAGTCCAATTAGTTTTTCCGCTATCATACTTAGCCAATTTCGTGAATTAAATTTTAAGGAAAGTCGTTCCAAAGTTCTTGGTTATTATATATTTTCTACTTTCTTCGTTCTCGAACATGTATCTTGCGAAATACTTTGAATTAGACTTTGAAACTTTGATGAAATATTCGTGGATATTTTCAATATAAATTAAGATTTTAAAAAATCGATATCTCGAACATTCGTGAATCGCCGAATCGCCGCCACTACAATATAAAGTACAGTTTTTCATGAAATTTTAAAAAATCGATGTGCTAATTACGAAACAAATAGACAATGAAAATTCTTGGATTATTTTAAGCAAAGTACATGCCTATTCAACGCGAGCTACGCGTAATCGAATTAAATGCCAATGTACAGATTAGCAAAACCTATTACGACACTAAAAGCGAGCGACTGGGATTACACGGACTTGGGACAAATGAAGTAGAAACGAACTGATTTGCGTCAGACATTCTAAGTTTACTATTTTTCGTAGTACACGTTCTTATTTTGATAAATACATTTTTCTAGTTACATCGTCACATATTCGTGATCGCGACTTTATAATTTGATAGTAAAGGCTTAATCAATTAAATTCAAATGGGTTGAAAAGGTAACGTTACGTAATTACGAGATTAAGCGATTAAGACGTTAGAATGGAAAGTTTATATGATTGAATTAACAATTACTAGTGTTGTTTCATGTAACTCATATGTTTGTCAAATGTAAAAGAACAAGAATATCGTAAGGAAATATTACTTGTCTCGTAGTTATTGGGAAATAAAATATGCCACACACGCAGGTGTATAGTCCAGAAATACAAAATCCACTCAGTTTTAGTATCGAGAAATGTCGTTTTGCATGTTTTGTCACGATAAAGTAAGTTGTAGAATTTTAATTTCAATTGTAGTAAATTAAACTAACTTTGTTTATAATTCAGTTGTATGAAATATATTTATAAACATGTAAGTTAATTAGCAATTAATAAATCTGATACTGTAACATGCTGAAATTTTAAATTTCAATCTTGATGGTATATTCAGTATATTTATAATAGTTTGTATTATAATCGATAAAGCTGATAGGGAAAATTATAATTTAATATGCTTGTGCAATAATATTGTAAATTTTATAATTATAATTTTAATGATACATCATGATTTTATAAACAATGCCTGTAGAGTGCAATTATTTATTAATAAGTTATTCGGCATTCTATAGATTAATTAATATCCACATAATTGTTCTTAACATATTTCATTAGTATTTTAGGGAAAATTTAATAAAACACATTTTATGTATAAAATTTTTTAATTAATATCTAATTCAAGCTGACGCTAGTCTTTGCGAAAGAATCAAATTATTTCATGTAGAATTATTAAATGATAAATATTAAAACGCTTTATATCTCACGGATATTTTAGCAAATTTCATTTCACATATTTGCACGCCTTTTTTTCTTTTGCATAAAAAAAGAAAGAAATATTAAATAAAGGAGCGTATGTACAAATAAGCAAAATACGTAGCACAATGAAAGGAATATAAAAAGTGGAGGGAGAAAAATGGCTTATTTAAACTTAAACCTTATTTAAAGTTGAACATAATTTGCTTTTGAACAAAAATGTAATATTTTATCTTCTACTATCTACAGCTGCGGAACCATATCGAGTGGAACATAGCTATCCTACTCTCACTCGTATTCGCACCCCCCTCCCCCCCTCTCTCTCTCCCTCTCCCTCTCCCTCTCTCTCTCTCATCCTCTCTTACCTCGAGTCAGCTGCCTTGAAAGCAAATTCTCTCTTGAAGTTTATCATCGATTTCGCATTTCCCGATGCTTGCTTTAAGCGGGAAAAAGGAAGCGAACGACGAGAATATTACCATCCGGGAAAATTCAATTTTATTTTCTTTTTTTCTCTTGTCTTCTTATCAGCTGCGATACTGTAACTTTCTGAGCGTGTATTTAGACGAGACGTTTCTATACAGTGACTTTGCACGCTTGTTTTTTTCTCTTTGTTTTCTTTTTTTTTTTTTTTTCTTCTTTTCTTTTAGCGCGTGGTTAAACAAGAATGAAACGCGATATTTTTACAAGGATCGAGCCTGGTGAATTGCGAGAGACTCAATTGTAAAAACTATTTGTTACCGCTTATGGTGCTATTGACAAATAACGCTTAATCGATTTCTCTGTCAGATACAGTAAATTTTTCTGGATTTTGCTCTCTGCGCTAAATTCAGCACATCTTCTGACTTTTTGACTCCTTCGGTAGTGTTAAATTTTGATTATATTAATATGTCAATGAATTCTTTTATTTCCAATTGTTATTTTATGCGTATGACTTAATCGTTCCATCAAATGGATTGGACTCATTATGACATTGAATATATCTTAGTTATGAAACTATTTTTTTTTTCTTCAAAAATTCATTCTCTCTTTATTAATGAGAATTATGGGGTATTTTCAACTATCATAATATGCTATCATAATTTTATCCGTTTTTTTTTACTACATAAATTTTCATAAATCACTATTATGATATATTGTTTTTACATAATTCTATTAAAATTGGTTGTTTTTTTTTTTGTTTTTTTTTTTTTATCAAATAAAAAAATATTATACATACATCAAGTAATTGCGATGTATTTAATTTCGTTGGAAATTATAAATTTACATTAATTTACTGTTATATTTTTATAACAATTAAATAATTACTATTAATAATAAATAATTAAATATTCTTCTCAGCTTAAAGATTGGAAAATTGTTAATTTAAACTGGCAAACCATAATATCATAGTATAATTACACGCGTCCAAACACACACACACACATATATATATATATATATATATATATATATATATATATATAATGATAATTGATTTTAACATTGTTTATTCGGGTTTAGTTGTGTAATTGTCAAATTATATATTTTAAAGAGCAGCAAGATGAAGTGCATAAAAATTACATCGAGTGATTTAATTTATCAAATATTGGCACATGGGGAATTGGAATGTAATGATTGACAAAATAGAAATATATGAATTATGCATATGTTGTGAACGAATGAAGAAAAATTGTGAACGTAAGTAAGTGTTAACTAACTAATCGATTTCGATATATTATGGCTCGAGGATTTTGCAAGCAATTTTTGTCAGATACTGTCACTCTCGTTAAAAGCTTTTAAGCATACAATTTGTGCTTATGCAAATTGGGACACTCATTTTCTAATGATAATGTGCAGTGAATGAAGTTGCGAGTAAATTCGAGGTGTCAAGGAGGTACAAATAAATTTGTGAGAGGCAAAACCGTGAGTGTGTTGATTCAAGTGTCGAGCCAATATTGCACCCAGCACGACTTGACTTGGTGTCGGCGTTGCGTTGCGATCAACGATCGTTGATCTTTGTATCTGAATCCCTCTCGATATTGCATGAATCTCGCCACGTCGCGTGCTAGTGATAGAGCGTGTCGCGGAATTTATTCCTGGAAGAGAGGATATTCATCCGGCCCGTATGTTCGACGGCCCGGGAGGAGAGGCTAGTTGCGTTATCTCGCTCATGGGAAATGCGTTACCGGATGAGACGGTGCTTTCTCATCCTAAATTATTATGGGGCGAGGGGAGAGGAGCGAGTAAAGAAAGTGAAATGAGAAAATAATGTTATCTACGAGGGATCTAAGTGAGGCAATCTAACGAATAGATACGGAAAGAAAATGCCTGCAACTGAATTGTAGAATGGAATCCGAGAGGAAATGATCAGATTATCGTCTCTATTTCAATATTTCATCAAACAACATCGTCATCCTGAATTTTTCGTTACTGTTGAGCGAGAGCGATCCAGTTGATCGCGAAACCTCATTTTACTCTTAAATATTTAAATTCTGTCCCTCTCTCTTTTCTTTTTTTTGGCTTTTTTTTTTTGTTTTTATTTTTGTTTTACCCTCGCTCCCATCCGTTGGCCAATAGTCGAGCTATCTCGCGGAGAAATTATAATCACATTTGATGGAGAGGGGGGGAGGGGTGGAGAGTTAGGTAAATAATCATCAAGCCGAGACCATTGGACAACGGCTCGGGTAGACTCGTTACGCAAGCACAAATAAGGAGGAGGACGATCAAGGCCCCACGGCCCCATTCCGCCAATGCTTAGCGCCCGCAAACTTATCCGCTCTTCGCTCCAATACAAAATAAAAGCTCTAGGACTACCGGATCAAGCTGAAATCCCCAATCATCTCTACAAAGTTGCACATCATATTGTACAATGTTACCTAGCCCCACTCCATCCCCTAGTCCGTCCGCTCCCCTCCTCGCCTAACGATCCCCGTCAAATCGCAAATAACGAGAAACATACGGGCATCCATCCTCGAACAAATCCCTCAGCCCCCGGCGATCGCATTTCATAAACGCGGCAGCGTAGTCTAGAAACCAATTTAAAGGGGGTCGATTGTCGTTGCAGAAGGCCGCATCCTGGAGCTCCACTCCCCGGACGGCGTCCACGAGTGCTGGCTCCGAGCATCCGACAACACCGAGGCCAACGTCTGGTTCAACGCACTCCACTCGGCCCTAGCCGCCCTCACTCTCAAGGCCCTTCGATTGGCCTCGGCACTACCCGACCCGCCGCAACTCCAGCACATCGGCTGGCTCGCCAGGAGGCACTGCATACAGGTGAGTACTCGGATCAAAAGACAAGTACTTGTACTTGCTAATGCGCGCTCACGCTCCGCTTAAATTCCATCAAAGTCGCCATAATCCACGTGGCCTACGGCCCTCATCCCCTTACTCCCCCTCACTCCCTTACTCTCTTACTTCCTTACTCACGTACTCGACGTTTCCGTCCCCTTGTCATCCATTCTCATTCGACCTTTAAATTCCTTCTATTTCGATGATGTTTTAATGAACGTAATTTGCGCGAGTCCGTGTCGAGCTCACTTGGGAGTCTATTTTATCGGGTTTACGTCACTTAGTATTATTGGTCGAGCGCGGGCGCATCTTTTGTTCGGCGTTCCTTTAAATAAGCCGACAATGGCATAATGTCGAGTAAAAAGTTAAGTCTAAGCGCTTTTCATTATTTTTCCATTCTCCGAGGCGATATTTGCTTGAAAATTTTTCGCAATCTTATTACCGAGAATATTGGGTTGGAAACTGAATTTCAACACTACATGCTCGTGTAATCAGCCTTGATTTAGTGCGCTGAGGCGACAATACAATTCTCCTCACTCCCTACGTATTTTGCATTGCTCGGGTATATTAGCTTTTTATTAGTATATTACAGTGTCATTTATTGAACCTACGAGCGCTAAACAGAGACCGATTATGCTTTTTCGTTATTAAGGGCGGAATATAAGGGTATGGGCCCGCGCAATTTTTTTCTCGCTCACCACGATCGAGGCACCGCTCATCTTTTCCTCATTCCCTCCTCTAAAGAATAAATAATTAACCACTTTAATCTAGTAGTACAAATAATTAAGTATGACAGCTATTATCAAGGAGCTTTAATTAAAACAAAAACAAAAAATGCTCTTAATTCAAATAATATGACAGGAGTATCCGATAGTGCGTTGAAAATATACGATCTTAATTAAAATAACCACTCTTCTTAGTTAACGGATCGTCAATTTGCATAACTATGAGAACAATTATGTTTCACTTTGTCTGAAAAATGCGCGCTGCTTCTCATTTAGAAATTAAATTTTATCTTTCGCGCGTAACAATGTAAAATAAGCGTTTCAACATTCGTTTTAAATAGTAATCAGCTCATTCCTAGTAAAAGTAGTCCTATCGTATTGGCTGGCGTCTTATCGATTCTTATCGAGTATTAATAACAAATAAAGATGTTAAAAGATGATACGCTCAAAACCTTCACGTGAAGTATGACAAAATTCCGTAAATGACGAGGAAGCATTGTCAGATGACTCAGATGACCAGATGTATCGAGCAATTAATTACTCGGTACTCTAATGTGCGAAATTGATTTAAAAAAAAACAAGCCTATATCGCGTACAGTCATTTATTAGAATAATTTCAATGGGCTTTGACGTGTTATTGATGACACGATCTTGACACGATGACATGATCTCGGTCGAATCTCGAAAATATCTCGGCTTCGCTTATTAACACCAAATACGTAATTTAACGGGGGAGCGCTCGAGATGCCCACCACGCACACACGGCACAGCAGACTCGCAACGGCAAAATCGCCTAAGTTACCTGGGAACGTGACGTTCTCGTTTTCGACAAGGCCACGAGCCTGAAAATCGAAAGTCCAAGGCTCGACGAGCAAACACGATCGCGAATTCGTGAAATCGAAAAGTGGGCAGTGGCCGAGGGCGCGCAAACATACATCAGCCGATGCCTTGGCGTTTGCCTCTATGTCATATCCGTATATGGGCTAATCACGCTCCGGGTTCGCCGTTAAAATATGGATTGATAGTGGTGGCGGTGGGTGACGATGGGTGGCGATGGGTGGCGATGGGTGGCGGGAGACGGGAGCATCGGCTGCAATGCGTTGGCTATTTAAGCGACCCGTGGGATACTTCGTCAAGGAGCAGCGGACGTATGGATAGGCGCAGTTATGGCCGCACGTCAATCGATATGGCGAGCAATCAAAGCCGCTAATGCCAATCAATTATGTGCCTGCAGCCCCCGCGCGTTTCTCCGTCACCTCGGCCACGGTCGTCCTTTATCAATAGGCGAGCGGTGGTAGGTCTCCTCGAGTCGAGCCTGCTGCTCCTGCGCCATATCGATTGCTCGCTCCCGTCGCCGCTCTAGCGCGTTGTCGTTGGCCGGGACCGAGATCGGGATAGCCTGTTTGTGTGCGTGTGGCGTTGGTGGAGGGATGCGAGAGAGTTGAGAGTTTGACAGCCAAAGTTCAAGGTGGGAGAGCGATAGGAGAAGCATTTTCCATGCGCCGGTTCATCGAGTGACATGGACATAATCGGTATCGTTCAATATTCCTCGACTTTAAAGTTGCTCGAGCTGATGAGATCTTGCAATCGCCTATTTCGGCGCGCTTATTACGATTTTATTCAACAACTGCTAGAAACGCTCGAAAGTTTGTCACTTTATCAAGTCTGGAGCGCAACTCTATTTTCCATTCTCTTTCAAAATAGCACTCGGCGCATTAAACTTTACTCCACCTATTTCAACTCTAATTAAATATCAACGTCTTAGCTTCATCTCGATCCTAATAAACATCTTTTACTATTTGGTTTATCTATTAAAATTCTTGATACTCAATTGTATAACTGTACACATACTTTAGCTATACTTTGCCTGTTTTATTTAATCTGCATTATTTAATTTTTTTTATAGTGCTGAAGAAAGATAGGAGAATTTCTCGATCTCGTAAGAATTACATTCAACATTAATTCGACGACTCCGTCCCATTATCTACAAATATGTTTATAATAATTTACCTTACATTTCTAATGACTTCAATTTTAGTTTCACTATATTCTCTAAAGTTGTCTTGACCGTGCGAAACCTACTAGCTACATCGTTACTTTCAAATGCTTTTATTTTTAAATGATAATTAAAAAGTACGTTTCTAAATGAAAGAGCACGAGTTACATTTTCTGATATTTCTTTGTTTTACCATGTCATCGATGACTCGTATAAAGATACTTGACGACTAATTTCCTAATAATAAATGCCTTTTTTTTTATCCTATTTTTTTACTTTGGATAGTATATAATAATTAACTTATCTAAAAAAAAAAAAAAAAAAAAAAAAAAAAAAAAAAAAAAAAAAAAAAAAAAAAAAAAAAAAAAAAACAGGCCAAATAGAAAAACAAATTCAGCCCTAATAAGGCTTTTTAATTAAATTTGTCGTTATTGCTTCAGGAGCCAGCAACGCTTTGACGTGATATTAAGTTTATCAAGTATTTATATTAAATTAATAAACTGATTGTATTGACTCCTTTACATAGAAATGAGCTTGAAAATAGCTATGAAATTGTAAATCGAAGGGACAAATTTCCTTTCTTATTCCTGCCATGAGGTTGCCGATATTTAGAAACAATAAGAAAATTCGAAAGCTAGCTCATCCGAAGAGTAATTTCTAATAAATTCGGCGACGTTATTGTCATATAAGGAACGTCGATGGTGAATTGCAAATGAAAAATTTCCTCAGCATTAAGTGGCCGGGCTCGCTATTATGGAGCTGCGCCCGTAAAGCTCGACTTGAGCTTTTCATAGCTCCATCCGTTAGGATGCTGGAGTAATCGTTCTGTACCATTACTCGTTTGTAACTCGGTTTATATCTCGGCACTGATACCAGCAACAGCACCAGCTGTTTAATAATCGTCGGAATGAGAAGAGATCCGACATTTCAAATTCTACCAACTTGTATGTATTTTTGGGTAAGCGTCATTCATTTAACGCTTGGACATATTTCCACAAATTCTAAATTTCATTGCAGATTTGATTGAGGTTGTGTGTGGAAATATATCATATCATTATATGTATTTGTCGATTTTTAATAAGTAGAGTCGGCTCTGTGCATCTCTTACATATATTAATTACTTATAATCTACGTATTGTTAAACATGAGCTTTATTAATTGAAGGATTATGAAATCTTCGAATAAATGCAAAGAAACAATAATTATTGTATTTATAAGGAGATAAATAGAAATTCTCTTTTGTAACTCGAGTAAGATGATTATAAATTGAATGTCTAATGTAATTACGAAGTATATTTGGCAATAACATGTTTAAGTATAAATGTAACTTCTGAAAACTTATTTTAATAATTGACTTTATTTCAAGTTATTAGTGGATTTATTTACAAAGATCAGTGTTTGACTTACTTATTCGTACAAGTTAGAATGATAAATTATCTTGTCTTATAAAATTATGTAACATTTTCAAGTTTATTTGCTCCGCGCTGTAAAACAAAAGTATATAATGATGGGCTTCTTGGTTTCACCACTTGGCCATGTCACTTATAACTTTGAAGTGCCAGTAAATAATCGCTCTTTCGTTACATAATATTAAATTTATTATGCTCTGACTAATTTGAAAAGTATTTTAAATGATAAATGTACATAAAATGATAACAATCACTTTACTTACTTAATTCATGCTTCTTCTCACCACAAGTCCCTCATTATAATTATTACTTTTAATTTCGCTCGGCCAAATTTACAACAATTAACGTAATTGTTCTATTATTTATTATATGATAAATTAAGAATTTCATAAAAGAATGGTTGCATAATAATGCAGACGCGTGTGATTCAATGCTTGAAAATATTTTTACTTGATAAATATGTAATGTCTCTCTTACTCTCGCTCTTACTCGTAAAATGTTAATTAGAAAAAATGTCAATTAGTCAATTAAAAACTAAAGCATCTTTTTGAAATTAATTTATTGTTGAATTATAGTTTAATTTTAATGGCGTATGCTGAGTTATTCGACAATTAGCGTGAAAATATTCTTCATAACTAAGCTTATATTGCTAGCTAAATGCTAATGATTGGCGAATGAAAAAAGAAAAAAGAAAAAAAGAAAGAAAAGTTTGGAAATTTCTAAAAAGAAAAGTTTATTCTAAATTTACCAAAGATTTAATAGCAAAAAGTAATTTTAAAAAAATAATCTTTGTTCAAATCCGGACACTTTTAATTTAAAGCAAATATGTAAATTAAAAGTGAGGTGAGGTGGGGG